TATATATATATATATATATATATATATACACACACATACATACACATCATGAAATGATTACCACAATCAAGCGAAGTTACACATAAGGGGCCTTCTTAGGTTGTTTATTAAGTGAAAATCTTTGAAAGTCTGGGTAAAAAATGGAAAGTTATGAATACTTGAAAGTTAATGTTCTATAAATTGGCAAATAAATGCTCTATTGTCCTATGAGAGTAATAATAAAAATTCTAGCAAAAAGTCCAATTTGACTACTTAAAAGAACGCTAATTCACTTTGCATATTTTATAACCAATGTGTAGCATGCTATTAAGACTTATGTTACATTGATATTAATTTATCCATGTCAGGTGAATTTTTTTTTTTTCCTTCCAGTGCTGGGGATCAAATCCAGATCTTTGGACATGGCTGGAAGTGCTCTACCACTGAGCTACATTCTTGGCCTTGTCAGGTGAATTTTGAGAGCAATGTAATGTACTATGAGCAGAACCAAGGGAGTCTGAAGACCCAAACTGGCTCACCACTTGGTACATTTAGAAGCTGGAAAGGTCATTTACCTGTCAGGATCTGCGTTCATTTATTCACAAGAGTATAACAGTATCTGTCTTGTGTATTTCAACTGTAACCCATGTAAAGTGCTTTTCTATTTCACTATTTAAATATGGTTTCCTTAATGAGGCTCACCCTAATCTTTTAACCTATATTTCCTGCTTTCCATATACACAACTTGATAGTTACTTTGATAGCACTTTCTTCAATTTATATTTATACTTATTTGCAATGTTAAGTGATTTTCATTTTTCTATTTACACAAATGCAAAGTAGCATCATAATTATTTAATTAGGCAATATATTCATATAGGCAAATAAAATGGGTGGGGCAAAATGAAATAAATGTCCCAAATTACATTGCATTAAATTTTCTTTTATTTTAATTGGATATTTGGAGTTGTTAGAGCACTTGCCTAGTATGCATGAGGCCTTAGCATTTCGCATTTCTCCCTTTTTTTTTTTTAAATAATAGGAAAACAGAATAAAGCCATTTTCCATTTCATCCTCCACAGAACTTTCAAGTTTTATTTAAAGTCAAGATAAGTGATTTGTTATTTTCATGTCTAACATAATTATATCTTGCTTTGCTACCAACTTCAAGAAGCTGTTAAACCTGACCAAATTCATTCTTTTATGTCTAAAACGCCTTAAAAAGTCATGGCCAATAACCTCCTTTCACAAAGGTGAAAATTAAAGATATCATTATCCAAAATTGATGGAAAGTTTGTTGTTAACAATTCAGAAACTCAATTTGAATACAACTTATTAAAACTCAGAATCTAAAGGAAAGAATTATGCTCCTAACATTAATTTATTAATAAAACAAAATTTTTTCTTATAAAAATTTAAATGATACCCAACAGAATCAATCATGAACTATAAACAGACACTTCCATGATCCTCTAAGTAAATGCTGCTAAAATCTTACAGGCCAGTCATTTGTGTTAGGAGCCTGATTTTGGTCTAGATCAATTTTTTTTTCCCAAACTGTAAGTTGTAGATCATTAGTGGGTCATAAAATTAATTTCATGAGTCAAGAACTGTGTTTTAAGGGAGGTATGAATATAGCTCAGTGGTAGAGAGCTTCCCTAGCAGGCATGAGGCCCTGGGTTCAACTCCTAGCACCACAAAAAGAAAAAACAAATTAAGAATAGCATTAAAAGAAAATTAGAAAAGGAAGTGTGAGTATTCTGTTTGAAATGTATTTTATATAAATGTACAATGTATACACAAACACACACACACATTCACACACACACATACATACATCCACTGTGTCATAATATAAAATAGGGGTCATGGTCAAAGAGTTTGCAAGCCATTGAACTAGATCAATCCCATTGGTTTGCAAGTCCACAGTCCAAAGGCCTGGTTCTGAAAGCTGCTCTGCTGTACCTCTGAAAATATCTTTAAATCCTGCGCTCTTTTTGCACTTGTGGAAAAAAAGGCAATATAACTTATTTTTCATTTTAAAATAGGTTTTCAAATAGCATTAATTCTATGAGAACTGAGGAGATTTTGGAAAATAATTATTTCTAAAAGCACAATCAGGATTTGTGAAAGAATGCTCTATATTGCTTGATAGTTTTGTTTCAACATTTTGAAAATTTTAAATTGGAAAGGGAATTATGATTAAGCATTACTGTTTAAACTGTGGGGAAAAAATTCAAGGATGGTATGTTCATTCTGTAAACATAAATGTATAAAAATGTTTAATTTATGTTTAATAATTTTGCTTAAGCTCTTTACATAAATAATTGCCTTAACATTCATCTTTCAATATATTCAGTATTTGTTATCATTTTATTTTATTGTAATGCTATAATTCTCATGCTTAGACAAGTCAAATGGGGAACAGGAATTAAAGACTTAGTTAAAAGAAAGATATAAACCAGCAGGGCATGGTAGCACAATCCTGTAATCCCACCAACCCTGGAAACTGAGCCAGGAGAATTACCAATTGGAGGCCAGCCTCAGCAACTTAGTGAGACCTTGTCTCAAAACAACAACAACAACAAAGGGCTGGGGCTATATAGCTCAGTGATAAAGCACTCCTGGTTTTAATTTCCAGTACCTACCCACCAAAAAGAAAGAAAGATAAACCAATAATGTCTAGAAAGTAAACATATGGACAAATATGCCATTGTTTCTAAGAATCATATGACATGCAGTATTTGAGATCATTTTAAATTCATCTATATCTTATAATAAATTTATCACTTGAGACCTTCTACAATTTACAGCACTTCTATAACTTCACAAAACTTCTTTAAAAAAAAAGTCTTTAAGACAAACTTAAAAACAATTCAATGCAGGTTTTACTTGCTCAAGACAATGGAATGTTTCAATCCAGGAAGGGGGCTGAGACCCAACTAATTCTAAAGAACTAAATTGTGATGAAGTTGTGTAATCATCCATTCATTCTTAATTCAACTGCAAATTCAGAACTGGGTTACAAATAAGAACAGTGAATAAACAATGTTGCAAGCACACAAAGGTCACTAGTAACTAAATCTTTCAAAATCACTTATCTGTAACTAAGACAATCAAACCACAGTAAAGAGAATTACTGATTACAAATTTAAATACCAGAGGCTAGGGTGTGGGGAACAATGAAAAGACAAGCACTTCCCTGACTGGGCACCAGAGAGCACTCTGAATCCCAAGTTCCTATAGATCCAGCAAAAGCCAAAGAACTCCTCCAGGCTATATATAGGCCACTTGTCACCAAGCACATGCAGCGACAGCAGCCTCATCAGGAGGCACAACCTTACCCTTTAATTTTTCCTGAAAGCCCCCAACTTCTGCTCAGGCAAGCAGTATAGGGGGCATAAAATGGTTCCCCTCTTTAAGCAGATACTTACCTCAAGAGAAATGTTAAAATAAGGCTTACATGAAAAACTATTCAGTCTAAGATCTTGGAGATAGAGGCAGTAGTGAGCTAGTTAACTCAATCTGTCAGCAGCATTTGACAAAGCAGAAAGGAACTGACTAAATCACAACATGACTCGGAGCTGACGTCAATGTGCAGCTCGCTTGGAGTTTAACTTTTCCACTTCCCTGCTGAAACACGATTCCAGGAAATGTAATGACGTCAGCCCTTTGAACTCAATTAGCTGAGGAACAGACACCATTTTAAATACAGGAGGAAAGAAACAAGTAGGCACGTAAAACATT